TGCTGCTCCTCTTGGCGCTTTTGCTTCTGCTGCTCCTGTCGCTCCTGCTTCTCCTGCTGCTTTTCCGGCTGTTCCTGTTGCTGCTGCTGCTGCTGCTGCTGACTCGTGTCGCTCTGCTGCTGCTGCGTCGTTTTTGAGGCCGGCGAACGCTCTTGGTTTGGCCTTGGCTCCACGTCCCCGCTGTGCTGCTGCTGCTGCTGCTGCTGCTGCTGCTGCTGCTGCTGGCGGGGGGGGCCCCTGTTTGAGCTTCTGAAGCGGTCGGGGCCCCTGGGGGGCCCCTGCAGATTAACAGGAAGGGGGAGGGGCCCCCCTCCAGGGTAAGTGGTGCCGATGATTCGGTAAGAAGCAGCAGCAGCAGCAGCAGCAGCAGCAGCAAGCTGGTGCTGGGAAGGCGAGCCAGCAGCAGCAGCAGCAGCAACAGCAGCAGCAGCAGCAGGGTCCCCGTAAGGAGCTATGTCCCCCAGGTACTGCTGGTGAAGACAAAACTGCTGCCGCAGCAACTCAGCCTGGTGGGGATAATGTAAGGGGTCCCAGTCAGTGTGGGGCCCCACAAGGCTGAGGTGCCTCTGTTCTGCTGCAGCAGCAGCAGCAGCAGCAGCAGCAGCTGTTGCTGCGAAGTAGCGGGCTGCTGCTGTGCCTGGAGGAGCAGCAAAAGCAGCAGGGTGGAAGGGAGGCAGCAAAAAGCTTTCTCGAGGGGCCCTTTTGCTGCTGCTGGGCCCCATGGGTCTGCCCCGCAGCGGATGTCTGCTGTAGTAAGGCAGAGGCCGTCCTGCTGCTGCTGCTGCTGCTGCTGCTGCTGCTGCTGCTGCTGCTGCTGCTGCTGCTGCAGGGCCTTCACGGGAAGCGCTGCGACGCCAGTGATTACCGTCTGCTGCAGCGGCGGCAACGACAGCAGCAGCAGCAACAGCAGCAGCAGCAGCAACAGCAGCAGCAGCAGCAGCAGAAAATTGTGGAAAACAAACGTAGTCTCGATAACTTAAAAATTAGAAATTGAGAACTTTAAATAATTTAAGTGTCTATTTTCACTTATTTTTTATTCGTCTTATTTATTTCCATTTTTAATTTAAATCCAGTTAAGTCCATCTTTAAATTTAATTTTTTAATTTCTTGCCCCGTTTGCTTCTGCTGCTGCAGTGCAGCAGCAGCAGCAGCAGCAGCAAAAAGACAACAAATTGCATTTAAAAGCTTTTTATCTTACTTCTAGGACTTGCATTTATTTCATCATTTAAAGAAAATAAAATTGAAATAAAATAAAATAAAATTGAACTAAAATAAAATAAAATAAAATTGCATTTAAATAAAATAAAATAAAATAAAAAACAAAAAGTGCCAGCCACCTCTTTGGCCCTTCAGGTGTATGTACAGCTTGTTCACATTTATTGCCAGTTAAAAAATTAAAAATAAAATTCATTTTTATTTTTTTGATATTTGTTTGCTGCTGCTGCATGCAAAGTGGCTTTAGTTGTTTTAAATCGAGAAGCAATTAAATAAACATTTAATTAAATAATTAAACAACAATTAAATAATTTAAAAATAATTAAAAATAAATTAAATATTAATTAAATAAATAATTAAATGATAATTAGATGAAGAGTTTGCACGCGCGAAAACAAATGCAGTCTATGAAGCACAAAGGGCTGAACTGCTGCTTCTTTGCTGCTGCTGCTTCGTTGCTGCTGCTGCTGCTTTCCTGCTGCTGCTGCTGCTTTGCTGCTGCTGCTGCTGCTTTGCTGCTGCTGCTTCTTACCGTGTTCTCCCATGTGCTGCTGCTGCTGCTGCGAAGACCACGACGCTCGCTGCTGCTGCCGATTGCCTGCAGCTTCCTTTTCCTGTGGGCTGCCACGGCCACGATTGCTGCTGCTGCTGCTGCTGCTGCTGCTGCTGCTGCTGCTGCTGCTGCTGGGGCGACTGGCAGCTTGGCTTGGCTCTGCAGGAGAGCTATCGGCAAGACGTCTGCGTCCACCTGTTTTGCTGGCAGCAAAACCGTGCTGCTGCTGCTGCTGCTGCTGCTGCTGCTGCTGCTGCTGCGGGGCCACAAGAGACCTCACCAAGAAGCTGCTGCTGCTGCTGGGGCTGCGCTGCTGCTGTGGATGAATTCTTCGGCTGCTGCTGGCAGCGCTGCTGCAGCAAAAGGACATTTCCAGCAGCAAAGCCGCAGCAGCCTCAGAAAGCAGCCAGCAGCAGCAGCAAAAGCACCAGAAGCAGCAGCAGCCACAGCAACAACAGCAGCAACAGAAATCGCACCAACAACGCCAGCAGCAGTTATGCCGGCAGCAAAGCAGCAGCGGCAACCGCAGCAGCAACACCAGCAGCACTAACACAAGCAGCAGCAGGAACACAAACAGCAGCAACAGCAGCAACAGCAGCAGCAGCAGCAGCAGCAGCAGCAGCAGCAGCAGGTTACCTGCTGTTGGAGTTTTTCGGTCCTCTCATTGCCACAGCTTTGCCCAAAGAAGGCCAGTGAGCTTCTGCGTCTCCTGCTGAAGCTGGCGAAACTGCT